GGAGAAGGAGGAGGAAGAGGAAGAGGAGAGGAGGGGGAAGAAGAACGGAGGGGAAGAGGAGGAGAGGGAGGAAAGGGGGAAGGGGAGAAAAGAGAGAAGAGAAAATGTGATCAGAGATGTTGAAATAAAGGTATCTGTGGTGTTTCTGGGGAATTCTGAAGATTCTAGAACACAGGATGTTTATTAAGAAATACTGAAATTATATCCAAATGACTTAGAATCACACTGAGAAGAAATTTTGAGTATCAAAGAGATACTAAGTAAGCAGAAACTTCCAGACATTTTTGAAAAGGACTGTCTAATCTTGGAAGTTCTGTTTAGAAGATATCAGACTTGGTTTGGGCTGGAGAAAGAATCTAAAGACAAAGCGAAAGTAAATAGGACGGTGTTGCTTGAAAATAGTAAAGATACAAGGAAAACAAATTTGGGGGGAAAACTGCACAGCATGGTAAGGAGTGTGGAAGGCTCAAAAATGAAACTAGTGTTGAGATAGAAACCCGGAAGTGTTACAAGAGGACGGGGGACGGGAAGTCTGACTTGCCTTATTTTTATAAGGCTGGGGATCTGAGGATTCGGTTTCAAGAGCAACTGGAAGTAGTTGGAGCAGAGCAAGTTGGCATTGATAATGCCAATGAAGCCATTGCTTGCATAAAGTGTGGTAGTTTAACCCCTTGTACTTTTAAAAGATTCATTGACAAATTGAGAGTGGACAGAAAAAGAATAAATTACCACGGGAGCTTTGAGACTTAAAAGGTTACAGAAACCAAGGGAGGGAAGAACCCCAGGAGATGTTCTCATGCTTCCCTGACTCAGTAGAGTCCACCATTGAGTTCCGTAGGCCCAAAGTTGGGGTTCATCCGGGATTTCCCTCTCCCTCAACCCACCATCAGTGTTGCTGAATCAGCTTCTACACATAAGCCCTATCGTACCATGTTTAACTACCTCTCTATCAGTTCATGAATATCTCTTACCGGGACAACATCAGCCCTGTGAGTGATCTTAGTTTCTCTTGTTCTCTATAATCTAAAAATTGGAGTCTCCCATCTTCAGCATTCCTGGTATGATACTATTCTCCTACTCCCAGGCCCCCAGTGACTCTCATCCTTAGAACAGATTCAGCGCCTTTGCTGCTGGCCTCAGAGTTTCCGCTGACCTGACTTGCTGTCTTCTGGGTCTCAGCTTCACAGCCTGGCTCTTTGCTCAGCCTCTTGTAGCTATGTCAGTGTTCTCTGGGTTCCAACAGCTTACAAAACATTAAATAAGTAAAAAGATAAAAAAACAATATAATTATCAAGTAGTGGAATTTCTTTGAAAAAATAGCACAAGTGAGAGAGAAAATAATATAAGCCTGAGCCCTTTCCTTTGCTCTTCCTATTACCTGGGTTTCACTGCCTGAATCTTCCACAGCATAACTATTAACAGCTGATGACTTTCCATGTCCCTTGATTCACTGTGTTGTCAGTTACTCTACTATATATTGGGGATCCAGCAGGGGAATCAAAACAAACAACATTATCTCTTCTCTGCAACTTCTGCTCTCTCAAGCAGATCAAACAGTCAAAAAAATAAGTAAAATATGTTGCATGGCAGATATTGGTAAGTGCTAAGAGCAAAGTGAGCCAAGGAAATGGGAGAAGGAAAGTACTGTAACTGTGCTGGAATGTGGTGGACATGAGTTGTGATTGTAGACAGAGGGTTCAGAGATGGCCCCAGGGAACGGATATTTGCAGAAAGCCTAGAAAAAGGGGGCAAGCAAGCCTACCTCATGCAGTAAGGCACAGATTTTGAGAGAGAGTGGGTTGGCTTGTTAATGTGAAAGTGTCTGGAGTGGACAAGTGGAGGGCATGGGGTGAGAACAGGGAGCAGCTGGGTCAGACCGTGCAGGGGTCAAAGTTTCTTGTCTGTGTTCTTTTTCTTCACAGAACTTTGCCTGCTGCTATTCTACAGGTGTATCTTCTCATTTAATACCTTTTTCCTTCACTAGAAAATAAGCTCCATGAAGGAAAGACTTGGGACTCTTTCCTCCAACAGCTCCCATACTAAGAACTCAATTTTATCAAAGAAACTAATGAATGAAGGACAGAGGCCTAGAATGCAGCACTAACTATAGAAATCTGGAATGAGAAAGGGTTGTTAAATTTGGCAGACAGGCATTTGCTGATCCTGCAGCTTTTATGAGTCCATGAGAACAACAGTATGCACTAGGGATGAGGGCAGAAGGGCAGAAGAATGGGAAAAAAAACTTGCTCAAATGGTATCACAGAGTTTGTAGATTTTCTTAACAACAATTAAGTTAGATTGGTGTAACACAACTGCCTGTGTGGTATAGTCTTTTTGTCTTCTCTCTGACTTATTTATGATTTGCTTTCTTAAATAGTTTACAAAACTGAGCATGTGGTATATTATGCAGATCTGTTGCATTCCTTGGAGAACAGACACATCTCTCACCCTGCTCTTTGTTAACATAATTATGATTGAAGTGTCTTAAATGTCATGTTAAGACTTAGCTATAATGTCACTGACTGTGTGGGAGGTGTTACCTGTTTCATTATTTAGGTAAAAATCTTAGGAAAGAGATACCCCAAACTGCAGAGCATAAATGACAGTTAAGCCTAAGTGACTGGAGAATACTTCTATGATGAGATGAATTAATGCATATGAAAGAGCTTTGCATGATAAATACATACTATGTTTTTCAAAAGAAAATTATGTCTCTTGTCTCGCCTTGAAAATGTTTAGATGCTCAAGGATATAACTAAAGTTTAATAGAAGACAGAATCCTCTGGAGTTAGATATTTACACAGTGTTATTTAAAAGAAAATACTGCAGGCAGTGAATTTATCCACACATGTTTTAAACATGTCTGTACTTTCAATTGGAAGAATAAAGAAGACACAGGAAAGAAAAAGACAAGACATTCCTCCTGCCATAAAAGTGGTAAATCTCAGCACACTTGACGTCTTTGAGATGAGGGGCATACATCATCCTAATAAAAACAGCCTTAACAAGACAGAGCTCAACAGTAGAATGCAAAAATAATTGATTTCATGAGGCTGCATTAACAGCACGAACAACAGATGTTGTCTGCTGGGAGTGATGTCATTTTTTTAAGCTTGGATCTTTCCATCTTGTCCGATTTCATCATTAGAAATTCTGACTGAAGAAAAATTAACACATCATGAGTAGGATTATCATGGTTGGAACAAAGTGACTATAACTAAAGCTATTAAGTAGTTCTTCTCCTAAGCTGATCTAAGTGTTGTGGAAAACAGTCTTTGCGCCTCTTAAATTGGTCAAAAAACATTAAGCCCCAAGTTGGAGATATTTGATATCATGTGGATTTTTTAATATATCAACACACCAGAAAATAAATGTAAAATTTATATTACAACAGAAATAAAGCACACATTTTAAAGTCATTTTTAAGATCTTTACAAAGTGAGCCTTTAAAAGTATATGTATTTCGATTGCCTTTTGGAGCATACACTCACAGAATCACTATAAAAATTTTTGGAGTGGGTAACAGTAGCTTAAGAGTTTATTTATTGTTGCCTCTCTGCAAGTTTTCTTCTGTTTGGATGAAATAAAAATGGCAGTGACAGAAAGCTAGCTACAAAATTATTTTATTGCTAAGCTCCATGTGTTTCCACTTAACCTGACAGAGCAGTTTCTGTACTGCTGTGTTCAAATATAACTTTGTTTTCTGGAAAGAGAATAAAGATAGGTTGACCTTTCTCCATGTCATACTTGGTCAGCAGATTAGATGGAAAAGTAAAGGATGCATAATACTGAACAGGCTTCAAAACAACTGACAGCTCTGCTGCTCGTACCAGGTGTCAGAGATGGCACTCAGCTGGGTCCTGTGGTCTTCGGATGTAGAAGCAGGCAGGAACCTTTGCCTAATGCCTAGTTTCTCTCCTTTCTCAACGATTTAGAAAATACATAAAGAGAACGTTCTGGTTCTTTCCCTGAAGGGAATACACATAACTCACACATTAATGTCCTCTCTCCTCTCCCCTTCCCTCCTCCTCATCTAAAGAACTGCACTGCAGGTGGACCTGGCGGTGCACACCTGTCATCTTAGCAATTGAGAGGCTGAGTCAGGGGAATCAGCTGACCAGGTTGAGACCACCATGGGCTACATAATGAGTTCAAAGCCAGCCTGGACTACAAACTGAGATACTATCCCCTCAGAAATTTTTTCTAAAAAGCTAACGAAACAGAACTGTATTTCAAAGATGGAAAAAAATTTTAAGTGCACTTTTTAAAATAGAGCTTATAGGATTTTCAAACTGATGGCGCACATGGCTATGAATGCCACTCCCATCCCCCAGCTCTCCACATCATGCCCTCTCTCTGTCCCTGCTCACCTCGTAACACATGTACATCACTCCAGGGACCAGCAGCCTCTAGCTCCTGTATCTAACACATGGAGGCCAAGGAGCTTCGTTCAGGCAGCATCCCTAAGCTTCCATCAGAGGATGAGCTGGCCCATGTTCCAGCACTCCGGGCGAACTCCTCTTTCCTAGTCCCATGTGCTTACCCATCCTGTGTCAGGGCCCTGGGTCTGACTCCTGCCTGCCTTCCCCAAGCATCCTTACCCTGACATCAAGCTCCTTTCCTGTGTCTGCTTTGTAGCAACCCAGGGTGTCAGGATCCTCCACAAAGTGATAGAGGCTTTATAATTACTCCTGGTGAATTAAACACTTGACTCTGTTGGGGTTGCATCTACACAAACTGTCAGTTTTAAGAATATCTGTACAAACATGGATAGGCACTTGATGGTCCTTTTAAAGACGTGACAGTGGTAAACGGATGTTGACAATGCGGTCATCCTTGAGGTGAAAGGAGTATCCTTTTCTATACGTCCTATTCTCTTCCTTCAAAACGCACTCCTAGCTGTCCTGCCCGTAGCGCTGCAGCCCCTCAGTGTGCTGGACGCAGCTCTGTAATATGCTCTGTGCATTTGTACCATGTTAAATAAAGAGCTTTTTCTTCAGGTTTTGGATAAAAACGATGCTGATGTCTCATTAGAGAAAGAGAAAAAGGACGCGCCTCTCATAAACAAAGGTAAGAAAGATCCAGTTCACATAAATCAAGCTGTAACGTTTCAACCATTTTCAATGTGCCTTATGTGACCGCTAAGAAATAGATCATAAGCTTGACAGTAATTTGGATGTTTAAAAATTTAAATTTGACTTTCCAGAAGTGAGAGTATGGATGCAGGGTGGCTGCGTTGTCAATTCCTTGTGTTTCAGGGAGCAGAGAACATGTCCTGGCTGAGAGCAATGTCCCTAAAATTGTCACTGTCTGAAATTCCCACAGACTGATGCCTCTCTTCTGTTGAATTCTGTTTAGCATTTTGGATACAAGCCCTATAATGTTGCTTTGGAAGTTGTAATATTACCCTGTTTTCAATCTTCTAGTGCCTCTCCTGCTTTTCATGATTCTTCTTCTGCAATCCCTAAGAATAGTTCAACTAATAAATGTATTTATTAATTCTTTCATGCCCATAGGATGTAATGTACTTGATGCAGGACTTGAATTATTTGGTGGGGGAGGGATACTGGGAATCAAACTCAGGAACTCAAGCTTTCCAGGCAGGTGCCGGGCTGCTGAGCTGTATTCCTGACAGGGTAAACTTATTAAAGCATAAAGTTCCATCTTATAATATTCAAGTCAACAAATGAAGAAATGGAAAACAAATTAGGCTCTAAGTATTTCAGTTGCTTAGTATTCATTTGTCATGACTGTAATTCTTTTATTGCATATTATGTTCTTAGTATTCCATTCTTTTATCATTAGACTCTAGCTATACGTGCGTTATTTTCACTGCCGTTTTTAAAATTTTGAGTTTCAAAGCACTTCTTAGATTGCTTAGTGAGTCTCAGCTCGCTTGGCTTTCTCCTGCCCAGCCCTTTTTGTATCCATCCATGCCATTATTTCATGTTCACTTTTAGTGGTAAGCTCGTCCTTAATGCATACTTTGTTGCTCAGGTAACCTAATCAGCTATTAATTCACAATCTTTATGTTTGGACCCATTAGTTAGGTTCCTAAGAAATCATGCTTTTTCTTTTTCATCTTAATGAATGCAATTTGCAGCTCTACAATCAGGATTTCTTTTTAAACAATTTCTTAATTTTAAATCCAGTCCCTTAATTTTAAAGCTCATCTTTTATAGATGTTTCAAATTATTACTATACCTTCAAATATGGTTCTGTCTGATTTACAAATTATAATGGAAAAAATTGTTAATATAATTGTGATCTTAAAATTAATGTGCAATTTTAAATACTCATCCAAGGCTTGGAAGGGACAAAATGAAATATTTTCAAGTGATTGTAATTATAGATTAGTTGGCTGTTGAGTTAAAAAATTAATTTTTTTTCAAGTAGGTGAGTACAGCCAGTGTGCCCACCATGTGCTTGGAGAAGCTCTGTGATGTTTTCCATAAAGGAGCTTGGCAGATCCTCACCCACTCACCCACTGTCTAAAGCTTCTTTTCTTGCTGTATGGTTTTATGTGGTCTCTAATAGCCCTAAACCTGTTGACCAAAGTTTACTTAATGGAACAAGCTATCCGGGCAGTTACAATGAAGAATCATAGAGGTAGATAAAAGAAAGACATATCGACTCATTGCTTATACGGTCTCTGAGACATTCTCAATCAATTCAGGGGTATCTTAAAATTTCTACTTACCATGAACTCGTGGCAAATCTTCTGAAGAGAGACTGGATAACCGGGAATTCTCTTCCTGCTTTAAACATCAATACGATGGGACACACATTTTTCACAGTGATGTGTCAGAATGTCTGTGATACTCAGTTCAAACGGAGAGAGGATGGAGAATCAGAATGAAGCGAAGTGGTTGTCTGAGCAGAAGATGGGGAAACTAGAAGTCTGGAAAATTGTGCTCAGCCATCTGTACGCTCATCATAACACCAATAAAAATTACTCCCTAAAATCAAGTTATAATAGTGCACAGTGCCTGCATGTATAAAAGTATCAGTGAATCCTTTAATTTGTATAACTGATATCTATTAATAATAATAAATTAAAAAACATATGCATCCTCTTAAATTTTATATATTTCATTAAAACTGATCATAAATTACCTTAAGAATATATATTGCCTTAAAATTGATACAGTTTAGAAGTGGATGTTTGAATACAAATATGAATATGTAACATTTCTGTTGCTTTAGTTTATGGTGTCTCATCAAGATTTATTGTCTTTGTTTTGTCTGTGTTCATTCAAAGAAAAACAAAAGCTGTGCAGTGTTACTGCAGCAACAAAAAGAAACTCTTCATCACCTAACCTCCGAAGGTACGTGTGCCATAATTATACAAATTCCAAGTGGATGCAATTATACTGTTGAAAAGTAATTACCAGTGTTTAAATACACAAAGAGAAAATAATAGCAATAAAAGCAATTAAGAATGTATCACAATTTTCAACACAGACAAACACATAGAAATTTACCTTTTCTCCCGTACTTTTTGATTCCTTTTGTGAAAATGTGAGCACAATCAAATGGACCAGGCTTAGCTTCGTACCTACAGTAAGTAGCCAGTTCAAATTGCTGTAGTGCAAATAACTGAACACGTCACACAGCTATTCCTGCCATAACATGTAAGTTATGATGAAGAAACCATAAACTGATGTTTTTCTGTGACTCATTAACTTATTGTCAAGCATACATGAAATTATTACAGTCATTGCATTCTGGAATTTTCTTGGCATGAGAATTCTGCCAGTCATAGATTCAGCGGGATGGATATTTTAGATTCCCAGAATTAAAAACTGTTTTTAAGGCAGCCTTCTCCTCTACTACTATACTACTACAGATGCATCTCAGTTGCTTTCCAGGCATTTGGACTCAGTTTCTCTGAATCCAAATTTTGTGCTCTTAGATAGCAGCGCCCTGCAGGAAGGACAAGAAGAAAGCAGAGGTGCTTTCATTTTCTCCTCTTGCTGACTGGTCATTCCAGCACTCAACCCCAGCTTTGCCCCTGTGCTCAAAAGCCTTCCAGAGCCTCATTACTCAAGTCAAGTCCGGACTCTTCAGCCTCCCACAAGGCCCCTTCAATTCTGCCCCTCCCTTTAGTACCCACTTTTCTCCCTAGAAATTCTAGCTGTCTTCTACCTTTATTCTGTCACATCGTCCCTTCCTGTACTTGCAGACCCCCTGGTACCAGTTCTCCTTGCTCTCTTTGCAGTCCAGTCCCTGTTCCAGTGTCGCCTCCCTCGTGCAAACTCAAGCACTCATAGCGCCCTCTGGTGGTAGTCAGGTTGTATCATAATTCAGTCACCTTGTCAAGCACTAGTTTCTGACAGTGGTGAGCAGTGACTTACCGTCAAATGGAATTGTCCTTGCACTGCATCTCTGCTCTTAAAGACAGGGGTTGGTTATACCTCGTCATCTTCATCATTCTGAGTCACCACAAGGTCTCCCCTGATGGCGTCATCTAAAATAGCTTGCACACTCTCATGAGTTATATTCTTATTATGACGTCATCCTGATTTGTATTTTTTAAACTACCCATTAATGTCTTAAAGTATGTCAGTTACCCATCTTCTTATTTTGTCATTTTGTTTGTAGTTTGATTTTTTTTATCTTCCATAAAAGCTATCCCAGTCCAAGAGAACAAGGTCTGTCTTGTGCTCCTTTCTGTGCCTCATACCATATCTTGTAAGTTAAGAATGGCACTTGACTTACAGTTGACATTCAATATTTGTTGACTGAATAAATGATATAATTCCCCCAAAAGGGCTCTCGTTAGACCTTTTCATGAACAACAAGAGAAGTCTTAAATCACTTATAAAAACTTAAATTTTAAGATCTATCCAAGCACTAAAACACAACTGTATGTATGTGTCTGCGTGTACTAACTCAGGCCTCTTTGAAACTTTGGTTTTTTCATTTTATAAATATGAGTGTTAGAACTACAATCCAAGTAAGACAGTCTTAATAGAGGAAGTTTATCAAATGCATTGTTCATATTAATGATGATAAAGATCACCATAGTAGTTATTAGGTGCTGTTTGCAAAAACTAATATTGAACATTGAGTTATATTTTTTGTTTATCTCATTTCATCCTCCCCACAATTCTGAGAGGTCAGCTCTAAAATTATTTGACAGAAGGACAAACAGAGATTCAGGGAGGAATTCACTGTGCTCTCATGTAGTATATTTTACCATCTACTCCCAACACCAGTATGAATTTACAGCACCGTCAAAAGAATAAAACAACAACAACAACAAAAATCCTTAATAAAGTGTTGGCATAAGGGCCATTATAGTTAATGAACATGCAGATGTCATATAAGTATTCTTTAACAGACAACTAAGTACTAGTCTGTATCTTAATTCTGAAATCAGCTGAAGTTCGCTGGTATAATAATACCCAAGAACTATTGACAATAAAAGCACATTCTATCTGATATAAACCACTAGCCAGTTTCAAAAGCCTTTCCTAGTATAGACATTAAAAAAAACCTATTACCTTAATTTATGGATGTGAGCATGAAAGATTACAAAACCTTTGTTCCTTGACAAATAAAACCCTGCATGATCTGACCTCTCCCCACGTACTCTTCTCTTCCCGTATTTTACATCGTTGCCCTCTTTTATTTTCTGTTCTTGCCATTCTGAAGCCTTCGCTCTCATATCCTACTACACTATTTTTCCATACTCTCTGTGACTTACTTTCACTTGGCAGCCAGGTGTCCTTTAAAAGGAGTCTGATGCAGTCTTCCTGTGGTAGCTCACTAGCTCAGAAGGGCTCAGTTCGCTCCCCAAGGCCACCATCCACCTGTCTGTCCCTCATCTCTTCACCCCGCGTTCTGTGCTCCATCCTGGCAGCTTTGCGTGTCTCATGCTTCCTGAATGGCCCTTGAGCTTTCCACCCCGGACCATTCCACTTCACCCAGAACGCTTCTCCTCCAGATCACTACTAAATATTTCTTTTAACTACCTTTGCTCATTTCTTTTTTTAGTTCTTCCTATTTATTTCATTCTAAAATACTATTTAAGTCTGTTTCACAAAAAAAGACAAGTGCTGCATGGCTCCTGTTAAGAATAAATTATCACCAATTCTATTTAATTGTTGCTACTTAAAAGTCTGGAAACAATATATAACAGAAATAAATGGTAATTATTCTAATTAAGAGTATTTTTATGTAACTACCTATGTGGTGAGTTTTAGCATTAAATTTATATTCTTGGTTTCATTTGTAGCATATTAATATTTCATAATGTTGCATGTCATTGTTTCTGAAATGATTAATATCTAATGTGGTTCCTACTTTGAAATTATTGTCCTCAGCTTGCCCAGTGAGCCTATGGAAGAGTTCAGTATCAGTTCTGGACACGAAGCGAGGGACTCTGCGAGTGGCTGCAGTAAAAATGCTCCTTTGCCGACAACATCTTCTCAAAACACATCGGTCAAGGAAACCGTGAGAAAACTGGTATCTATTTTAAGGTAAAGGCAGCTACTAAAACTTCTCCAATATTCTTTATAAGCAGTGACAGTTCCTGTTTGTTTTCTGTTTTCACCTACTCAGTGGTACTGTTACTGCATAAATTCTGTGACTTTACTTTATGACTTGTCTTCTAACCACACTGCATTAGATACGCTGCAGGATAACTGTCCCTTGAAATAGACTGCAGTCCCCACCTCCCTGCTGTTATAGGCCCAGCACTGTGGGACTCATTAGACCTCTCTTCATGGTAATAAAAAATTCTTACTGAACTTTATTATCACCTTTTTGTTCCCTCTCAAAAAAACCCTCATGACAATGGTGTGGTTTGTCAACTCTATTTTTGTAATTTTAGATACTGAACTCATTGAGGGAAGAAACGAGTCCATTTTTTCTTTTTGTCCACGATAGGATGTTAACATTCCTCCTGTTAGAGGAATTTAGGCGGCTGGATCTCAGTGCTCAAAGGATAGAAACATGGATGGGGTAAAGCCTAAGATTCAGGATGATGAGAAGAAACAGCTTTACAATCAACTGAAGTCTGTAAACAGAACAGAGCCCTGAAATAGGCACCATTAGAGAGGTTGGACTATGAGTATGAGCACTAAATTAGAACAACTCATTAGGTTTGTGGGTTCATAGGCTTTGAGGCAACTGTCTGGAATAAGAGGCTTCTAGGCCAAAGACACACAGCATGCCTTTAGCTGGAGTTGTGTTTTCTTAAGACAGTTATCTTGATTTTCATAGCAATGGCCAACAAAGTCCTTCTGAATGTGAGAGCTCTCAAAGAACAGAAAATGTGTCCGCTTTTTGTTGCTATGATAAAGTACCTGAGAAAATAAATTTAAGGGAAAAACCCCTTATTTTGGCTCATGGTTTGCAAAGTTTCGCTCCTTAGCTGCTTGACTGTGTTGCTTTAGGCCTGAGGGGAAGCAGAATATCAGGTAGTGAGAGTCCAACAGAAGAAGCTGCTCTGCTCACAGGAAGCAGACCGGGGGACGAGGGAGCACCAGGGACAAAACGTGTCCTCCAGAGGACATAACTTATTGATGGGATAGTGAATTGTGCATGGTCCTGTCCCAATCACCTAGTTCTGACCAACAAAAGGGCCTGGGTTGGCAGCTCGTGGTAGCCTGGTAAGGAGGCAGAAGGAGGATCTCACCACCGTACACTGGTTATGAGACTGTAGAAAGCCCTGATTCCAGCAATCTAGATGGGTATCACATGCTGTTTCCTTCACTTGAATCCTTAAAGAATGGGATTCTCCAATCAGTTCTTGTTGTCAGTAATTTTCCAAAATTAATATTTAAGGTCTTCAGCTTTGCAGGTGGGTAACCATCAATTCAAGCCCTGGTTGGCCACCTACTGGTTCAAAGATTCAGGCCTATCAGTTGGTTATTAAGGTAGCATACAATAAATCACCTTTGTGTTCATGTGTATGTGCATGTATTCATGTTTCTCTGTGTATATATAAATAAATAAATGACTATCATTAAGAATTTTGCACAGAACCACATATCCAATGATGAAGCTATTGTTACAAGTAAACTGTATTTACTTGATGATAATAGTAGCTACTATTTTTGAGCTTTTGTTATATTTTGGGTCAGTCACACATGTTTTATGAGTTAATTTCTTCTGTAAACTTATGAGCATGGTATTTCTAATTTTTTTAATAGCTGAGGAACCAAAGCATAGAGAAACAATAAGTAATACATTGAAAGTCACATAGACAATTATACATCCACTAAGGACTGGGCTAGGAGTTAAGCCCAGGGTCCTTGATTTGGAATCCCTTTCCTTCTTCAACCATAGACAGCTGTCCTGCCCTGTTCTCCGTACATGAGACCCGGAGAGACCTGTCCAAGTGTGCTGATCAGATTTGTATTCATAATTAGCTTTCTTTTCAAGCTGGATAATTTTCTCTTTCAGTGTACTAGTTTCCTTTTTATTCATTTGGCTAATTTTTATTCTTCGTAAGTGCAACATTTCTAGTAATTTTAATGAATTACATAGGATCCAAAAGAAGATCCTTTGATTGAATGTGCCTCGACTTTTGAGATTAAGAATCAATAAAATTGATTAAAATTCCCTAGAAATCACCTCCATAATGAACACATAAGCTTGTTAATGTCTAGAATCATCATACTCTTATCTACTGAATACTCTGAAAGCCAGACGTGTAATGTCTAAACTCTATTCTATGCTAGCTTAAATGCTCTGCAGTGATTGTTTTGCTAAAAATTATTTCATGAGAAAGAAATGCAGAGCACAAGGCTAAACAAAGTTAACACATTTTACCAATATTTCATTTCACCTTTAACAGCATGTACTATTTATTTTTCACATTTCACCAGCAAGAACTGATTTCTTGTTTTCTTTGTTAGGTTATCTTGTTTGTTCATGTTTGTCATGTACTACTTTATATCTGGTCAACATGTCACTCCTCAAGTTAGCCAAAGTTCCAATTCCTCGGGTCCTGAAGATTGGCAAGCTTCATAAGATGCAAACAGCACAATATTCTCTAGCTCGGAGGTTGTTCTCCATATTTACCTTGCTTGCCACATTAATGAAAGTGTCAGTTATTCAGTCTATGTGGTTTGCTTTGGGGCTAGCATTATTCTTCCCTCTTCCCACCCTGCTAGGAAAAGTCAGCCTATCTCTGTTTAATTATCGTTAACTGAATAAATTAAACAATATAGTTTTATTATCTTTTATTACCTGGTTATGCTTGATTTAGCATTTTCCTGTCTTATTTTTTGCTTTATGTATATTAGTTTAATTCTCAGAATAATTTTTGTGAAACATGTTGATTTTTTCATACTATAACCAACATTCATAACTATATGTGTCTTTAATTAAGTTGCAAGGGAAATGCAAAAATCATGACAAATATTGCTGCATGATAAACTACTTGCAAATAATTGGGTGAGACTTAGTTTTATTATGTTAGAGAGAAGTGAAATGAAGCAGTATTCAGACTATTACATTTTAACAAATTCATAGTCTGAAATTTTAGAAGAGCATCAAATTTCAGAACATTTAAAAAATAATAATAACCTCATTAATACATTGTTACAGTTAGTAAGAAGCACCTACTCTCCTAAAGACTTTTCACATGTTAATTGACTTACAGCACATAGTGATATTATAACTAGATAATTCTATTATACTCATTTTATAGGTTAGAAAACCAAGGTAGGTAAAGGTTAATAATTTTTTTTTGTATTACATAACATTTCAGTGGTATATCTGGGATCCAAATCCCAGACAATCTGTTCCCGCAGTCCTGGCTGTCAGTGTCTTATTTGGTTTATTACTGAATTTGTAAACTTGCTAACAAACCAGGGTTTATGTATTTCATCTATATAAAAGAACAAACATGTTTTTATCATGATTTTAAAAATTCCAAAAGAAAGTTTAAAAAGAAAGTCCCTTTTTAAAGATTGTTTCTGATTGCTAAAGTACAAGAAAAAGGCCACAAAAATAAATACACTGCCAGCTGTGTCCATGGAAACCATTACTGGATTCTTGGCTTCAGAAAGTGAAGTCATGCCATTTCCATCCCTTCCTAATCTTCCACTGACTGGGTTGAGAAGGAATTTTTGGTCAACTACAGGTAGGAGACTTGCTCTTCCCCTCGGACAAAACTAAGCTAATTAACCAGATTATTGATTAAAAAGAAAGATTCAACTGCTCTAAGTAAACCGTCCAATGCTATCCAAGTCTAGAACACGTGAAGTCTTATGACTACAAGTCAGAGATTTTTCTTAAGTGTCTTCCCTAAAAGAACCTCTTATGAGAAAGAAATACAACATGTGAGTGAAATGGAAAAGGCCCTTCACTGAAACTTCTCAAAACATAGCCGTTATTTACAGAGACAGTGCTGATTTCCTATTTTAGCTCACTTAGTTGAATCCCATGTTTGCCAGCTTCTCCTGTGACAGAATACCAGAGAACAAAAGATTTAAAGGAAGAAAACTTTATTTTAGGTCACAGTTGCAGAGGCTTCTGTCCGTAGTCAGCTGGCTCCATTGCTGTTAGATCTGTTAGAGAGGAAGTGGCAGGACAGAGCTCTTACCTCGTGACAATCAGGAAGCAGACAGGAAAAGAGGGAGCCAGAGAAAATAATATGCCTTACAACATACTCCAGTGACCAGATTTGTCTAGCTAGAGGCTCCCTCCTAAAGTTTCTGTTACCTCTCAATATCCCATTGAGGGATTAGCCCATTGATGGATTAACCCATTGATGAGATCAGAGCCCTGTTGATCTGATCACTTCCCAAAAACTCCACCTGTGAACACTGTTGCCTGGGGACCAAACCAGAGGAAATTCCAGATCCAAACCATAACAAACTCGCTAAACTTTCTAATTCAAATTTGCACCTATAGATATGGATTCTACAGAAATTCAACTGACACAGGCATCATAGTCAAGATCCTAGAAAAGGTAATAACTCTAGAAGAAATCTTCAGGGTGTTTATGTCTTAAGAAACAATGCTAAAAAGATCAATTCCTGATTTTATTATCAGGGCCTAGAGTAAGATTGTAAATAAATGTTTTAGAGGAAAGGCTATTCCTTGGTGAAATATTTGTACCTGACTCAGGGGCGTCACAGAATATACAGCATCAACTTGACTCTAGGGATGATAGCGAATGAATAGTGGTTTATTCTTAAAAGTTTATTGCACCCAGCTCACCTCATTGAAGGATGCTTCATGGATTATGGCATTGTTACATCTGCTCAAGAGAGAATGAGGTGTAGTAGGAGGGAGAGGTTTAATAAGGTCTACCCTCTAGTACAAAAGAAGAATACAGTAGCAGAAAAGGACTCAAGCCAATAAATGAAGGAATTTTTAAAAAGTTCTTAAATACCTACAACCAGATCTTATGTATGTGATTTTTTGATATCTTGACAGAGTTTTTTTCAACAGTATCTAATTTATTTACTCTGAATTAGGCAGGAAAAAGTGTCCATGTATCTATGTATAAGTGTGTAGA